TTTTGCGCCTGACATCGTGCTTTGGCACAGTCCTGACTACCTAAAGCGTAGTTAACAAAAATGTATCGTAGGTGAGTGTTTAAAGCAATATGATTTATGATATGCAAATTGAAATGTGTCACCCATTGCATGCAAAATGGCTGCATATTAAAACGTCCGCGAATTATGGTCGAAAAACCATTCGCTAATGAACCGCGGAAGAACTTGAGGACAGAGGGTAATTTATTAATTTTTTCCTGCCAGCGAGAGAAAATAAATAATCGACACGTATTACCATAATATTCCGATACTAGAGATGTAGTATTAATTTTGTATCTACGTGTTTAAGTATTTTTCTGACCAACTGCATTAAGACATTTTAAATCTCCCGCCCTCTCGCAAAAATCCCCAGGAGCGATCGAAAAATTCTCAGTCTGCCCAATGGCGCCGTTATGATATCAATTAGTTCGTTTAATTGACGTTCCATTGTACGTCTGTTAACGTATCAATCACGGAAATGGATAACTGATTGATCCTCCATCTGTTCCATTGTTCTCGATACACGATTCCCAGCCACACAGATCGTTCTTAGCAACCGGGATTTCGTGACTTATTAACACGTCGTTCTTTCCACGAGTCTTACGCCATTTTTCTGCTACAAGCCGGTTAGTGTCGCCGCCATGTTTGAAAAAAGAGGGCGCTGATGCTCGAAGTTGATTCACTTAATCTTTTTCTTAAAAGTAACTAGATTTCAAGGTTGATATGTGTAAATGAAAGAAGAAGAATGACGACTATACTATAGCGATTGTACTATAGTTTTATAGTGAAATATATTATGAAAATTTTTGGTCGTCTATTAACTGCAGATTAATATATTTTTATTATCTTTTTAAAAGGGAATTATAGAGATTATATATATTTAAATAAATTAGATATAATATTAATTAACTATACGCATTTTCAGAAGAAAATTGAAATTGAATTCAGGGAAATGGATGAGCGTATATTGTTTTGCAATGGACGAAATAATTATTGAAAATTTAATTATATAGCGAATGGATGTAATTAAATATGTAGTTCGAGTGTATAATTATAAAGTTACTTGGAAATTTGTGTCACATGATTAGAAACTGGCGGTTTGTAATTTGATGTTGAACTATAAATACTTTTATAATCTCTTTTATGAAAATGTACATATAGATAGTACAAAATTGTAATAGACAATAATAATAATAACTTTATTGTCAATTTACAAATTTATTTGCCAATCAAATATTCTCTGATTAAAGCAAAATTGACGAATGTAAATTGTGTCATAAAATTATATTTAAATGAACGTTCTGATAAGAATCTTATTACAACAAATTAATAACCGTAAATAAATTGTAATACAAACAAATAAATCAAATTTAGTGGATTCCAGATGTGTCTCATGTCCGATTCCACAACGAGCCCAGATTATTTATTCACTCCGTGTATATTAATTTGGAAGCCGGCCAAAAATGGTTTAAAAAAGGGAAAAATAGCCTTCGAATTACGAAGCAAATTTTTTAAATATATTATTCTACAATCGGATAAAACAGAAAGAATCCACGATAAATTATTAGAGATAAATAAATTTTCTCAAATTCATATAAGAAAAAGTTACAAAACTACTTAATTATTTTTCCAATATAAAAATGGCGGACTGTTCAACAATAATCTTAACCTCTCTCTCTACAATATAATATAATTACGAAAAATTATACATTGGAATAGTATTTAATTTTAATCGATCACTGTACATTTATTCCAACTACGATAAAATTATACGAAAATTTTAGAATTTTCTTCAGATTTTGTTCACGTTAAAAGTTGAAACTTATTAAACCTTTGCACTCGACGACTTTTTCGTTACAGAAAAATAGTAATTCGAAGACTTTCTGTCATAGAGTCGACGATATTTTTAAAATGGTAAATAAGAAATCAAATACAAATTAAGAAGTAGAATTATTTTTCTTCGACATTCCACACATCGTTAGGTAATTTCAAATTTGATATATTAATTAACGTCGATCTTTAGAATCTGATTAAATGGCGACTGAGAGTCACTTCTCAAGTGCAAAGGGTTAAATATAATTATCATAGCGTGATAAGCTCAGTTCACAATTTGAACGAAGAACTCGTAGCAATTTATCCTCGTCATTGAAAACAAATTATTAAAATCCTATTTATTTAAATTTTTCACACATTAAATACATCTTTAAAAATTTAAGTGCCAAAGCAATTGGTCGATTCCTAATCTTTTGTACTTGAAGTAAATTTCTACTTTCTCTTCTATGGAAGCTTTTCATTCCAGCGAATGAATGTCTCGTATTCGTATACATATGTACATATCTATGTATTTCAAGTTCCGAACGAAATTGAAATGACGTTAGAAAGACTGAGAGAAGATTTATTAATATCTATATGGAGGAGCGGTAATTCGAAATGAATGAAAGAATAATTCCCGTGATAGTCTACTTTGAGCATGAAATACGCGTTCTCGCGCTCAGCCGTGAACACTGTGCTCCATTCTGAAATTTTAAAACGCTTTAGCCTGTTCAAAGAGCCGCATGTTATTCGACGTTCAGAATTTTAGCGCCGGCAAGATGTTTATACATTCTGTGTGCGCGTAATCAAAATATTGGTGGTCGCGGCACGGTGTGCACGAAGCCGCCATTAAACAATAGACTACAAATTATGTGCGTATTGTAGTGCACAACGTCGAAAACTGGGTCCCTGGCTAATTGCCCATCCTCGCCCGCGAGGTCAATGCAAAGGAATAAAAGCTGGAAAAAGAAAAAAAAAAAAAAAAAAAAAAAAAGAAAAAAGGAAAAAGAGGAAAAACGAAGGATACAAGCGACAAGAAAATTCTAATTATTCGTAAACCTGACCACAAATTACCGGATGCAGCCTAGGATTACATCTTCGAGATATTTATCTAGCTAACTTTTTCTGGACTTATCTGCAGTATTATTCGTGTTACTTCGAGTACTTAAAGTGGGTAAACGTTGATCGTAGTTAAATAGCTATGTAGTAACTGTGAAACATTATTGGTATTGTAAGTATAATTTTTTTAAGTTTAATTGGTATTGGATATTGTATTGGAAGGAGTGTGTTTAGTTGGATTAATCATTGTATTGTAAAGGTGTATTTAATTTATATTGGATACCGGTGATACAAAATTAATTTGTATCAAATGCAATATGTATTAGGTATATATTATATATAATTAATATATATTGCATTCAATACAAGTTTATTATTATGTTCAATATAATGTATATCACATGAGAAAGTAATTAAGTGTATTGTAATATATTGGTAAAAGAATCATAATATACTGATATATTATAAAATATTAATTAAAGAATTAATAAGCAAGAATGAATAATGTGTAAATAAATGAACAAAAGTTTTGTAGTTAGTTGAAACTTAAAATATGTATAAATATCTATTTGAGAAAGTTTTGAAATATTTTTATATATTATTATTGACTTTTTAATTTGTTAAAAATAAACAAAAATTTTATTATCATTACATTTGCTCTTCTATTTATTTCCTTTTTTGACGAATCCTGACAAGGAACATTAATTCAAAGACTAATCGATAATTTCAGGGAGCAGTTAGAGAGAAATAGATTGAAATCATCAATTATCACCTAATTACGATATAAATGAACAAACTGTGCCGAAAAGTGTCATTATAAGATGAGGCTTCGGAATATTCGATAATTTAGTAATTAAATAATGATAAACTCTGTTCGATCGACATGGAAATTCCAATTATTTATTAATTTCACAATCGAAAAACAAATTTATTATAAGAAAACGTCCATTTCCATTTTCATAACCACAAATATTTAATTTTATAGTCGTCTAATCATTTCAAGTAAAGCCTCTTAATCACACATTTACTTACATTCAATCCACCTACAATTCCATTCATCGTAACGAAATTTATCTCGAATATTCATTTTTCAAAAAAGAATTCAATTTAAAGACTATACAAGGAGATTTTAGCAACTGTACCTCCTCTATGAATGTTTCAAGCGAAGTTAGAAAAGAGTAACCAATTTTATCATCCTGTCGAGTAGTCAATTTTCGCATCGATGCACTTGCAAAGTACGATGGCACATTTTTTCTAAATGCAACTGTATAATCCCCTCTTATAAATTGATTTCTCGAGTCACCTGTGCACAACAGGTACAAGGAAGGCCAGTGAAAACTCGACACTTCAGGAGATATTTCAATTTTTCCAGAAAACTTACAACAAATATCAGCCCACTGTTACATCAAAAACACTATCCCTTTCCTAAAGAGTTAAAACCTACAAGAAAACCCAAATCATTTCACAGATACATCAAAAATATTATTAACATAGTATATACACCCAAACAAAATTTTTCGCAATTACTCCAAAATAAATTCCATTTTATAATCAACCGAGAATTAAAAAAGTCCCAACGTGTTGCGACAGAATTTCAGAATTATCCACCAAGGAGCATTAAATTACCAAACAACCCTGTCACCTGTCAAACCCTCGCCAAGTTAATTATAAAATGTGATTTATTTTGGAGTAATCGCGAAAAATTTTGTTTAGACGTGTACATCGTGTTAATAATATTTATAAAATCGTCAAGTGCTGCAAAATTTTTCTCTTTCCCAAAAATACTCAAATCTAACACAAAAGAATCGTCGAAACACTGGGACCAAGAGGAGCAGAGGAAGCAAGGGGTATGGCAGAGGAAAGAAAAACAAAGCGAGCATGGGCCATGCATCAAACGAGCCAAAGCCAAATCCTCGAGCGGGAACCATGGCCCTGTTGAAAGTGGCGAGAGGTCCAGTTTGAAATATGAAGGAGGCATCGATATGTGGCGCGATTGGAGCACGTGGTGGCTCGCGCCGATGGGACCAAGGAACCGAGTGGACGAAGCTTAAGAGGCCGATCTGCGCAAGCACAGGTGCAAGTTCGAGGGTATAAAGAGGAGAAGCTCGGGCTCGCTGCGCGCACTTTGTGCTTCATCTGTCCGTCACTCGCGTCGCGCGCTCGTTCGCTGTTCGTTCACGGTGATCCAGGCCCGCTCTGTTCGTCCGCGGATCGGCCAAGTTCCGTTGCTCCACGTACGTTGTATGTTCGCATCCTCACGGCTGTCGCGACTTCCGTCTTCATCCAGCGCAGAACAGGTAGGTGCAGAGTATTTTTATCAACCGCGAAGACACGAAGGTCCTCAACTGTGGAGATCGTGCACGCCGCGAGATTTGTCGGTAGAGGCTCCTCGGGGGTCTAGTGAACTAGTGACTTTGGTGTAACACGACGGGGAAAATAGGTTCATCCTAGTTTCTCGGGGTTCGAGGAGAGTGTCGGTCGACTGGAGGGTTTCAGGAGGAGAGATTAAGTCGAGGGAAAATTCGTGGAGAGGATTTGATGGTGGTGGGACGGTTGGTAAAGAATGGCTGCTAGGTTTTATCTCTCGATGAACATAGTGGAATTAATATGATTTATCGCTTGCCTCGTTTCCTATCGGTTCCCAACGTGAGATTTGTGTTAGGATTCGTGTACAAGTGGTTGGGATTGCACGTAAGATGGGGTGGTTTTTCATTAATATCGAGGTATATCGGGTATTCAAATTTTAGGTGATGAAGTGGGATAATGGAAGTAAGTTTGTCTGTATTATTTTTAACATATTGTTATATTGCTTTTGGTGATGGTAGATAATGGGTGTCTTTGATAATTGCAGAAGGGAAAGATCTGGGAAGGGTAAGGGGGGAAAAGAAATAGTATTAAAAATTTGGTGTTATTAGAATTCGTATATATTCAAATATTTTAGAAGTGAACAGGAATTTTTTGTAACTTTAGTTTTGGTAGTTGCAAGTTATATTAAATATTTTGGTAATCTTGGTGTTGATTAATATGAAAGTATTTTGGTATTTTCAAGAATTTTGGATCTGAAAAGAAATTTTAAAAAGTTTTGGTTAATTATTTGTTAATGAAGTAGAACAAATAATTTTTTAATCACCTTTACAGTAATTATATATATTCTAATGTGAATTGTTAGTATAAAAAAGAGTTTATAAAAAAGACTAGTATTAAAAATTTAGTGTTATTAGAATTCGTATATATTCAAATAATTTAGAAGTGAACAGGAATTTTTTGTAATTTTAGTTTTGGTAGTTGTAAGTTATATTAAATATTTTGATAATTTTAGTGTTGATTAATATGGAAGTATTTTAGTATTTTTAAGAATTTTGGATCTGAAAAGAAATTTTAAAAAGTTTTGGTTAATTATTTGTGAATGAAGTAGAACAAATAATTTCTTAATCACCTTTGAAGTAATTGTATATGTTCTAATGTGAATGAAGAAACTTGATATAGATGGTTAAGTGGTTTCGAAATTAGTTTCTTAAGAAGAAGATTTAAGTACCAGGCAATGTTAAAGCACATTCCAGTCAATTTAAGCCTGCAATTGGTTAATTATAGCGTACTTTATTAAGTCAGGAAATCGTGTTAGATATGTCATGGTATTTTCGTTTGGACGTTAACATTGTTTAAACTTCTAGTACATGAATTATAAATCAGCCATTTTAATAATTTTGTGACGAACATGAAGAGTGAAATTTGATTCAACACTGTACAATAGACATAATCGATAATTTGTGATACGTTATATTATTTTTTTATATAGCACGTTAAACTGTTATAATATTTTGGTTCAAATTATTATTTATTTTTGTTGCTTCAAAAGCGATGTTTTTGAAACTATCGAGTAGAGGAAAACAGGAAAAATTATCTATATATGAGGCATGTTTTTTACCTTCATATTTCTGTCTAGAATCAATGGAATAAAAACGATACTATGAAACCGAACATGTTTATGGTTATACAAGGTACAATAAAAATTCGCGTTGTTTGTAATTTTTCCAAAATAAAAATTTCATAGAAACGAAACGCATTCAAAGAACTATGGAAAAACACATATTTCAGGATACTCAATAAATCGTGATTTTTATTAGACACAGATTGATTTCAAAATAAGTTTTTATATTACAATTTCAAAATGAAAGGTAAATAATTACTTACCAAGTAATTAAATTTAAATCAGAGTCAAAATAATTATTTGTTAAGCCGACAAATTCATTTACAAACGTGCACAAATTAATCAATATATTAAATTATTAAATACATACAATAAGCATTGGAATATGAGAGTTAAATCTGTATTTAAAAATTTATTAAGCAAGCAAATTTCTATTATTTACTAAACACATAAATTTAATTATTTCCTTTTTTAATTCAACTCCTACAAATTAATAGATCCATTTCTCAATGACTTTCTTGAATGAAAGTAACTTGGAAATAAATAAAAAGACAAAGATGAAAAATCCAAATCGACCTAATATAATTCCAAAATATATACTTATTTAATTAACTAATTTAAATTTCTCGAAATTAGAATTTGTAATTCAATTAAAAAATAAATTTCATTAATTCCACTTATTCAAAAGAGAAGGAATACAAAGATTCCATTATAACTGTGTTACTATAAAGTTAGATAAACCGAAAATTCCGTGAGTGACGCTAAAATTCGCTATCGTTGCATAAAATCTTGAAGCTCGAAAGGAAGCAAAGGCCACGGAAGTGGCATATTTTCTCAAAAATTCCTCGAAGACTTTCGACCCTCTAGACGCGAGCTACTCGAAAAGCCAAAAGCACCACTTGCTGCCTTTGTTATTTCGAGACTTCAATTACGACGAGTACTCGAGTTTGAGAGTCGTCTTAGAGCAGAATAGTATCGATGGTGAGAGTTAACGCGTTTGAAAATTCCGCATACTTTCACGCAATTCTTGTTTTCGCTCGGGTTGCATCGCATGGCTGCGAGATGGTTTCCGGTGATTCTTTTCCGGGCAACGAGTACCTCGATGCGATCGCATTTATCGTGGTAAACGAAGCGTTGATTTCCCGATCATCAGATTTAGTTTCTTCGACTTTCGAACGACTGTACAGTCGATTAGCTTCGCCAGTCTTTCCTTACGTCGAGGAGATAGTACCATCGTCGAGATGAGAACGTTGCTTAGTTTAAGGCCTTCGAGGCGATTAATTTTATCGCATTTTCTTTCTTCTCCCTTTTCTTTCTTGAGTGGGTAGTTGTATAGCATCGAGTAAAGTGAAGGTCTTAGACTTTATTAGAAGAAGTGCGTTTAATTCGTACGTTAGAGTCTAATTCATGCGATTTATGCAAATTTGACGACCACAGTGATCTATCCAAGTCTTTATTATAAATTAATTTGCACAATGTCTGTAAATATATGTAGGAAATTAAGTTACATGATTTATATACGTAGGCACGTGTAGGAAATTAGTTTGTTTAATTTATTTTCAATCATCGTCTAAATTCCAATACTATTTCTCGAAGTAAATTAATGATTATCAATGAGGATATTTTTTAATATTTTTTGTGCGATTCTATCTTGTTCCTTTGACAATGCGAAATATTTTATAAATATTTATAAATTTTTAATACAGAATAGAATATTAATAATTTTAATGTAGAATTTTAACAAAGAAATATTTTATAAATTTATTTTCAATCGTCTACCATTTCTTCCTTTCGTTTTTCTTTTCTCGTCATTCCAGATGATTTCTGATTGCGTTTATTTTGTAATGATTTTTCTTTAAATGATGTGCTTGACAATGATGTGTATATACAATTTTTGTCACATAACTATAGATGCAAAAGATTCTTAAAATATTTTCAATTGTTAAAAAACTAATGATGGAAGTAGTGTCTTTTCATAGTTATTCAATAGTTTAGAAGTGATTTAAGGGTAATAGCTTAAATCGTAATTCACTGGTTGACGATTTATGTTGCACACATGAACTACATTTTGATTTAATACGTGCAAGCTACGATATGTTGGTAATAGTAGACGTATTTACTCTATATAAAATTGTATTCAATATACTGGATGCAGAAAACTTAGTGGATTTGTCGAGATATTAATCCCCATTAATATGGCGATATATATTTTGAGAACAAATGTTGAAAGCACGATAACAATATTTCATTTTCAGAAATGAAAATAGATAAAGCCCTTTATTCTCAAAAATTGCTCGTACACATATGGAAATTTAAAAATTAACAATTTTTTCGTATCAGTCCTAATTTTTACAAAGCACAGTTATTTGTTATTTACTTTATCTTTATAAAATTAAAGTAACGTGATAATTATAAATAATAAATAACATTTAATGTTACAAATATTTAAAAAATTTTTATATTCTATTATATGTATAAAAATATTAATAATTCTTTATTTAATTCTTATCAGTCCTAACTTTTACAAATCACAATTATTTTTTATTTGTTTTATCTCTATAAAATTAAAGCAACGTGATAATTATAAATAATAAATAAAATTTAATGTCACAAATATTTAAAAAATTTTTATATTCTATTATATGTATAGAAATATTAATAATTCTTTATTTCTTTATATAAATGATACCAAATTTGTAATCAAGTATTTTCACAACATTTGAAGTGTTAAAAGATTATGCTAATGAAAGTTACCGCATGATCATAACTAATTATCTTACTTCTCGCATGTCTTGACAACATACATTTTCTTCCATTACATTTCTAAGAATATTCAGTTTTACTTTTCAACAAGGGTTGTTCAATGCGAAATATTTTATAAATATTTATAAATTTTTAATACAGAATAGAATATTAATAATTTTAATGTAGAATTTTAACAAAGAAATATTTTATAAATTTATTTTCAATCGTCTACCATTTCTTCCTTTCGTTTTTCTTTTCTCGTCATTCCAGATGATTTCTGATTGCGTTTATTTTGTAATGATTTTTCTTTAAATGATGTGCTTGACAATGATGTGTATATACAATTTTTGTCACATAACTATAGATGCAAAAGATTCTTAAAATATTTTCAATTGTTAAAAAACTAATGATGGAAGTAGTGTCTTTTCATAGTTATTCAATAGTTTAGAAGTGATTTAAGGGTAATAGCTTAAATCGTAATTCACTGGTTGACGATTTATGTTGCACACATGAACTACATTTTGATTTAATACGTGCAAGCTACGATATGTTGGTAATAGTAGACGTATTTACTCTATATAAAATTGTATTCAATATACTGGATGCAGAAAACTTAGTGGATTT